TTCACCCAATGAAACCTCTACTGGGTGCCACACACAGTACAGGGGCACTGGATCAGAACATGGTGCATGAAAAAGGTAGGCAAAGGGACAGCCAGACAGAACAAAAAGACCCAGTTCTCAGCACAAGCAATGATTTGATCTGGAAAACTTGATGCTTCCCTGGGTTTAAGTGTTAGCAAATTATTCTACTAATAATTACAAAATGTTCCTAATTATTATTAAAAACAAAATCACTTTATAAATCCCATGCTCCGCTATTGTTTCCAGCCTTCTGTGGTGGATAAATAATGGAAATCAATAATTATCACCAGAGCTGCTCAGTGGGAAGGGAGGATAATGGGGGAACTAGCATGGGGCTGCTTGCTCCTTGACATTCCACTGGTAGGAAATTTACCCCCCACAACTCCTTTCCCAAATCCAGCCCTCCGTGCACAAGGAAGGAGAGAAGGCCAAACACAGAAAGGAGACAAAGAAGCCAATGGGATGCAGATCACTAAAATAAACCCGCACACACACACAAAGCTTTGGCAAAGTCTTGGCAAAGCCTGGTGCATGGCAGCTGAAAAAGGGCTGGGGGACCTGCAGATGGGGAAGGGGACTGGCTGCCTTGCAGAAAGCTGGGATGCCTGGGAGCAACGATGCTTGAGGAGCAGTTTCTGCCTCACAGGCATCACAGCCCAGCTTTGCTCTTGTGGTTTGGGTTTAGTTTTTATTTTGCCACCCCTGCTAGCTCAGCTGTTGCAAGCAAGCAGGTCGGTTCATTATCCCAAGCTGCAGCAGCTTGGACGCTCCTGACCACACCACGAAAGGAATTTGCCAGTAGGGAAAACACAAAGGCAAGAGAAGCTTGCGAAGCAGCAGGACCACCCTCACCCCTTCTCCCTGGGTTTATAAATCTTTTATAAAGTAAAAAGATTCAGCACAAAGCTGATTCAGACCCAGACTTCTTCGCTGGCTTCTCTGTGCAACTGAATTATCGCCTGGTACTGAGAAGGTCAGAGAGAAAGAACGCGTGATTCCAGAGGACAAAAGTACAGTGCCCCATCCTCAAAATCAAAAGGGATAAAAGCCAAGACACTCGCAACTGCCATCATTCTAGCGAGGGGTTACCTTGCCATCATTAGGTTTCAGAGTAAAACACCAGCAGAGAAAGGGTTTAATCATCTTCCTTGAGGAGAACAAGCAAAATCCACCCAGCACGCTCATCCAAGGTCTCAAATGATTTCCCTGGCCTCCCAGTGATCCCCACTCCCGCTTTTCCTCCCACCTCCTCACCAGCAAAATGATGCATTACACCTTGACCATGCAAGGAAGCCATAAAGCAAGGCTGAGGGACAGAGCAGAGCAAGATGAATGGATTTAATATCAACCCGAACTGAGCATGGGCTATCGCACCAAATGAATTATTCATTTTGAATTCAGTAACAGCCTCCATTTCACATTGACCCACAAGCTCTCACGGGCATGAGATGCCGAAGAGGATGGGGTAGGCAGTCCAGTGGGTTTTAGGGTATGGCATGCCATCTCCCATATGAGAGCAACACAACTCCACACCAGCCAGGAGGTCTGTGCCAAACCCAAACAGCCTGGGATGGAAATGAAAACCAGGCAAGATGGATAAAGAAAACCTCCCTCCACCCCCACCTTAGTGATGTGTTGGTAATGACCCCTCATCACTTTGACCCTAACACACAACAATAATCTCTTCGGGACTCAAAATACCCCCAGATGAAGATTGCATCCTGCCTGTGCCTTTTGCGAACGGCTAAGTGCCGATAAAAGCTGGTATTAATGAATCCCTCAGCGGCCCCGAGCTCTGCTGTCAGCACGAAACCACTCCAGTCTAATAGCCCCATGACAAACGCAGCCTCTATCCCTGGGGGTGGGAGGGATGAGAGAGGACTGAGGGGGGGGCTAAACAATTCAACCCTAATTTTTCCCCACCACTTTAGAATTAAGCCCATTTTGTCAGCCTTAAAATACCAAGAGATTTTTTACTTCTTTTTTCCTTGGTGACAATTCCCCTGGGTTTGTTAAGTGGCTCATCTCAAGCCAACGAAGGCTTTGAGCAGATGTCAGGAGCACGTGGCTCCTGGGAGCTGGGGTCTAATTCTGGCAGCATCTCTGCGAGGTGAGCCCAGCAGATGAAGGCGGCAGAGGAATGCAATCCCTTCAAAAGCACCAAGACAAATAGAAAACCAACAAATTATTATGACTAAACCTTGTGATGTGACACCTCATGCTCACCAGAAGGGCAGCAGTGTGCCCAGGGCCTTGCAGTATCTCCAAGGTCTAAAGGGCTACAAGGAGAAACTTGTTGGCCAAAGGGTGCACACGAGCTACAGAGAAGACGGAGTCCAACCCAAGGTCAGATTTCTATTCAAATGCAGTTAATTTTTCCAGCAGTCCTAACGTAAGCTCTGGCTCAGGCTTTTAGGACTGGTTTTAATGAACCTTCAGGAGGGGCTGGCAGGTTTAGTGGTTTTGGGTTCCTCGTGCGAACTTCAAACTCACATGTCCCACTTACAACCCTAGCCTCTCATCTATCACCCCAACATGGGAACTGGGAAATACTCTCATAGGACTGGGAGAGGGGAGTTATGGGAGCTCTGCTCTAAAGACAACATCATACCAGCACCCAACAGTGCCCACAGGATCATCAAAAAAACATCGTCTCATCATCACACATATGCTTGGTGCTATTTAATCACCTGCTTGGTCTGCATCCACAGCATACTTTGGTGCCTTTCAGGATCCCAGATTATGTCAGTCAATCCATAAAAGACATTTCTACTGCCTTAGGCCTGACAGAATCCTGAATTTTCCCTCAAGGAGCCCGAATGCAAAGCATGCTCCCCATGCAAGGCAAAACGCTCACTAGAAGCTCTGCAGAGCCCACATTAGGGCAGCACAAGGGGTTTCTCCTTCAGCATCAGCACTGCTGAGGAGTGAGAGCACAGCTGGAGACAAGTGATGTGGCACAGAGAACTCAGCAAATTCCCAATGTACAGGGGTCTGGTCAGCGCAGCTTTGATGGCATAAACACACCATGACTGGTTTGGGGTTTGCATGAGAAAAGGAAACAAAAGAAGCCATGGAGATAGGCCTAATGCCCACCCTGAGCAGGTTTGCTCCCATGCCTCTTTATAGAGTCCTAGAATGGTTTGAGTTGGAAGGGACCTTAAAGCTCATTCAGTTCCAACCCCCTGCCATGGGTAGGGACACCTTCCACTAGACCAGGTTGCACCAAGCCCCGTCCAACCTGGCCTTGAACACTGCCAGGGATGGGGCAGCCACAGCTTCTCTGGGCACCCTGTGGCAGCACCTCAGCACCCTCACAGGGAAGAATTTATATCTAACCTAAATCTCCCCTCTGCCTGGTTAAAGCTGTTTCCCCTTTTCCTGTCACTACAAGCCCTTGTAAAAAGCCCCCCTCCAGATTTCTTGTAGAATCTTGTGTCCTCCTATCCCCCATTCTCTGCCTTGTCCCATACAACAAGCACTGGGTAGGTGCAACAATCTCCTCCTGGGAAGTTAGAAGCATTCAAGACCCCAACTTTCTCCACCACCCCAGGCAGCAGTAGATAGAATGGTCAACATCACTGAAACCTGCAGCAGTTTTACATTATCGTTTTCCCCACATTTCTGGCAAAATGACATTATTTCCCAATTCCAGTCTTTAGTTAAAATGATTATTTATTTTTCAATGACGAGAAAATGTCATTTTGCCATAAAACCATGTGTGCTTTCTGTTTGTTTATTCAATAGTAGAGGAACGTCTCGCCAGAAACACTTCGGTTTGCAGAGCCCTCCCTCCAACAGAGCACTTTAGATCCTCATGGGAATCCATCTCCTAGTGGGAGCAAAATCACATTCAAGATCAACCACAAAACTGAAAGGATCCACCAGCGATGCTACTTGATGGGAAAGCAAGGACTCTGGTCCTTTCCCAGTTGTTGCAGCCCTGGCACAGGAAGGCATCGCCGTCCCTACACTGGCCAGGCAGGAGTGTAGCTTTTCATGGTGAACACCTACACAAGTTCCTAGGTTTAAAGCAGATGAACAAACAAGTTTCTCCATAGCTTGAATCCTAACTTCGCCATTTTCATGAAGAAGACACGCATGATGGCCACCCCAAGGAGCATCACATCCAAGCCTGCTACACTTGCTGCCACCTGCACCAAAAGAGGTTCAAGTCAGACCTCTTCCCATCACTCTCCCTCCTCCAAAACCAACCCTAAAGCCCTTTGACACCTGTCTTTAACCTTCTTCTTCCCAAGATGGTGGTGCCTACCTTCTGGAAAGCACTAATGAAATGAGGTTAGCTTCTCATGCAAAAAGACCTCTCCTTTTCCCTCACTCCAAACAGCATACAAAAAAAAAAAAACAAAACCATCTTAACTGTGAAGAGACAGAAAGGGCAGCAAATAAAGCCAATCCTCCAACAGTAGTTGGGAAATATTCATCAGAACAGCGAAAGGAGATGAAAAGCAGCGAGTGCTGTTTTTATTTTATATTTATAACCCTGTGCTATGGAGGCCTCCAGCAGGCAGCAGCGGGCTGGGGAAACCCAAAAAACACAGCAAAAAAAATTCAAACCAATTAATGCTGAAAATCAGAGCAGCTTCGCTGCAGCCGGGCCCAACAGCAGCTCCCGGCTCCCGCAGCTCTGCTGGGGGAATAACAAGGCAGATGAAAGCGGCTCTGCTTGCGCGGCACTTTGAAGGTAACAGATCACAGAGGAGGCTTCCAGCGGGCTCGCAGCAGCAACTGCTCATGGAGTTTGGCCATGGACTGACCGGAGCACACTAAGAAGACACAGGTTGACTGCTCCCAAATCCCTGCCTGGTCCCCAGAGCAACACTGCTTCGCAGCAGGTAAACGGTGCAGAGCCCATTTCACAACAGGCATTACCCAAAGGAGCTTGTCTGGGGACAAACATTTTGTTAAGCAAAGCTCAAAACCGATAGAAGCACCTTGTTAGCCAAAATCAGCCTTACCTTTGCAAGCCACATTGTTCTCCGGCTCATAACCAGCCTTGCACGTACAGCGGCCGATGGGGACCATCCACTCCCCATCCCCATTGCAGTACAGTTTGATGGGCACATCCACCTCCTCAGCATTGGGGATGCAGGTGCCACGGGCAGTCACTAGAGAGGTGCTCTCCGCTCCTGTCATCGTCTCTGGGAAGATGGCAAAGTTCTGCACCACGCTGGGGCACTTCTTGAAGAAGACCCTGACAGACAGCAGAGACATACAAGCCCCATAGTCCTGGAAAGCCAGGTAAAAGCCATTGCGGGTCAGGGGCCCGAAACTTCTCACTTCTGTGTTCACCTTCATCAACCTGCCACCAAAGTCCACCTGGGAGAAGCTCTCGTCAGCAGCAATGGTGTCCACTTTGAGGTAGGGTGCCTCTGTCCAGAAGGCAGACTTCTTGGTGGCAATGACAGAGTCTGTCTCGTAGTAGTAGAGGTTGAAAGTCTCTTTGCAGGAGCCAGGGACGTTGGGGAGGCTGCTGCAGTCCCGCACAGTGAAGCGCATCTCGGTGTAGATGCGGTGAGCTCCACGCCGGTTGATGAACGTGGTGAGGAGCCAGTTGTTCTGGTTGGGCTCGAAGACATTGCACACCTGGTACGTACGGATGGTGTTGAGGTTTTCGTCGTAGCCACTGACTTCTTCCCACTGCAGAAAGAAGGGAGAAGTGATAAGATGGAGGTAGAAGGGCTGGCAGTGGCCCATGAGCCATGGAGGTGCTACTCACTCTGCACAAGACTGGAAAGAGAATCCTAAAGCCCAAAAGAGACTAGAAACATAGTCAGGGACACACAACAGGATGCATGGGCAGAAACACCACCTGGGACAGCATCAGAAGAAATCCTCACCCTCCTGCCCCTGCTTGTCTCCCTCCATCGCTCCCATCTGAACATCTTTTCCATGTAACCATCTTAGCTGCCCTGAGAAGATGTAAAAATGGAAAGAAATACACTCCAGGTATGGGGAGGTAAGAAGAAAAGCAGCACACAAGGATACAGCTTCATTAAAGCCTAAGCCAGCACATGCGCTGGAGAGTGAGGCTGACCCCAGGCTCTCAGCACGATGGGATCATTTCCCCTGGGAAAGAAAACTAACTAAATAAAACATCACTGCTGCAGAGAGACAGAATATAGATTTGCAATTCGATTTATAGAAGGGCATTAATATAATCCAGGCTACAATTTCAATTAAGGGACAGCGGCAAACTGTGAATAGTCTGTGATGGCATTAGAGTCCTACAGACTGATTTACAACCTCATAATCCATTCATTCTAACTAATCCATGTTTACAGTCTCTTCATAACAGCGTTACTCGTATGACAATCTTTAAACAGCACTCTGAATATCATGCATAACTTCCAGGAGTGATGCTATGGCAGCACTCCTGGGTGTTTGTGCCTACATGGGGATACAACGGCAGATGGTTGATGCCAACCTGCTCTGTCACGTTGAGTCTTCCCAAAGAGCTCATGTACCACAACCAATCCTGTAACCCTGATTTTGCCATCTTTCATTTTCCATTTAACAACCACTTTCCTCACCTACTCCGCAAGCTTCTCCCTTGTAAAACACAGCCCTGATGTAAAAAATCACAGGTTCTTATTTTGTTTTCAAAGCAGGGTCCTCCTCATGCTGCCAAGAAGTGCAGCAGAATGCTTGCTCCTGGGTCCACCTACTCAGCTCCACTAAGTTTAAGCAATGATCACAGCTCAGGGTTGCATGTTGTTGTTAAACAATGTTTACCAAGACAGCAATAAACTCTCACACATCCAGCTGAGTGCTCTCCCTTCTCATTCTGTACCATGAAAGCACTGCAAAAAAACCCTCTCCACCATGGACAAAATGTGTGAATTCACTTCCCTTTCATTATCAGACACCTTTTCACATGAGAAAGGTTCTCCCCAAACCAAGGGGGCTGGCATTGTTCCCCGGTCCCAGTTTCCACCTGGGATGTGCATTACAGCCCTGTCATCCAATCAACACCGGATGACAAGCTCTCTTCCTGCACTCACACCAGCTCCACTGTCTTTGCTGAGGGAATCCTTCCCTTCACTCCACCCGCCAGCTCCTACACCCCAGCCAGGTGCATGGGAGGGGGGACATGACCTGTTATCCTTTATTCCCAGTGCCCATCTGAGAGCCAGCTCTCTCGCCAGATCCTTCTACGGAGCATCTCCTGAGCTTTGCTGCTTTCCTTTGCGGGAGGGCTGTAAACAGCCTCAAAACTCGGAGCCAAAACCTGCCAGCAGACCCTACCCGCACTTCAAGCACCCAGCACATGGTGCTGGAAATAACACGTAATGCCACTTGGAAAACCCTCCTGAGGGTTTGGGGCCAGACCCATATGCTCCCTTGGGAATCCCTTGAGTTCAGCAAGGGATGAATCCTGCAACCAGGCACTGAAGAGCAGCAGGTGCCTGTGTCTGAAAAGACCCACAGTGCCAGCAGCTGCTGCCATCAATGCTCTAACAGCAACAAATGCATCATTTTGACGAGATCCCACTAAATAATTCACAGGGAGCTGGAGATTAAGACAATGTTATTCTATGTCTCTACTGAGATTTAAAGTGCATCCAGTGGGGAGAGCAGAAGGACAGCCCACACCCCACTGCAGCCAGTCCTCAGCGACCACAGCCCCTGCTGTCCAGCTGGCATCTGAGCCCCAGCACTAATGTCAGCATCCCCGCTGAGCCCCAGGGCACATCTGTGAGCCAGGGTGAACAGTTACTCTCAGAGCTCAGCCCAGCACAGGGGGATACCACTACCCAAAGGGACTCAAAGCCTGCACACAGCCCATGCTGATGGCAACCCCAGCATCAAGAGAGGTGGCTCATCAAATCTCTGCACCTCCAGCCCCAAGAGGAATGAGAGGAATGTGGCAGAAAGAGATGACACTCCAGCAGTAGCCAGGAGCCCCTCCCCCACCCCCTCTCTCCTGCCCCAAGGTGCAGGAAGGTTCCATTTATAGATGGCAGCTACTCTTCTCCCTAACAAGCAGAAATTCATACATGTATCTTAGCATCTCTAAGCCAGGTTGCTTGGATGGGTGACACTCTGCAAACCCTGGCACCCACACTCTGGAGAGGCTTGACCAAATACTGGCCATTATCACTGGACAAGCCAAGAAGTGATACAAATTTGCCCCCTAATATTTGTTGTGAGCTATTAAATGGGACAAATCCTAACACTAAGAGCTGTAACCAACCAGCTCATAAAGACTACTGCATGCCTGGAGCAAAAGGTGTGCAGCCTCATTTCTTTCGAGGATCTGGCCAAGTCAGTCACACCCTAATGAAGATGCAGGCTGGCATCCTTTCCCTTTTGGTGACATGTACTGGAGGCCCTGGGGACAGACTCTGCTGCTGTACTCATCCCTGCCTAATCAGATGCCTGTACTACCATGATGCCCATCTATCAGCTCACATCTCCTCCTACCACCACTTCTCTTCCCCACTGGCTGAGTCTCTCACTTTCTCTGCCAGGGGAATGTGAGTCAGGTTATTTTATGCTTCCATTCCTCAAAGGCTCGTATTATATAAAAAAGATGTTTTAAGTGCCTCAGGGTGTTTTGTTCCTCATTACTTCATAAAAGTGACATTAATAGCCAGGGAAGAGCACTGCCGAGTGCAATTATGGATGATGTTCCAGGTATGAAAGCTGTTTTGAGCCTACTAATGTTTCCTAATTACAAGCCTTTTGGCACAGGGAGAGGGAAGGCGTGAGCAGAGGGATGGAGAGTGGTGATGGGGATGGACCCTTCACCTGGGAAGAAGACAGGCAGGGGAGGAGAAACCAAGCAGATAGAGACCACCTTTGCTGAACTCCCAAGACTGGTTCAGGGAAGGGATGCTCAGCCCCAGACCAGCCATGCAGCTTTGCACAGATGTCCCATACTAGCCCAATGGGGCACCACTGTTCCCACTACAACTTCTTCAGCTCCCCACCTGCATTTTAAGTTAAATAGCCCATAAGAACCCCATGAGATCATGTAAGGATCAGCTGGACAAGAAACACTTACCCCTGAAGGCGGGTTGGCGGTCCAGCCCAGCTCGGCCGTCGCTGTCCGTGTATCCATCAAAGTTTCTGAAGAAACACAAGAAAAGGAAAGCAAACTATTCACTCCTGAAGTTTTCAATGACATTATGAGCTTGGAGCCACAGAAAAACATTCGGCTGGGTTCACAGAACATGCATCTGACCCTTGGAGCTGCTCAGAAATAAAGCAGCAGGTGCCCTAATACATCTAATGAACAGCTTCACTCCAGAGCAAATGGTGCAGGACAAGACTCTTTGCAGAGTCTCAGCCTGAACCAAGCCCATGCTACCATCTCTGACCCTCCCAACAGTGTTACCAAATAAAACTATTTAAAAACTAAGAAGGATGCTGCATTTCAAGGAGTCATTACATGCACATACAAAACCCCATTCAGGCCCGTGAGTTTGCATTAACTCCTTGGAAGCAGCAGGAGACAGGGGGAAAGACTCCTACCACAGGCAGAGCCCACCCTCTCCTCCAGAACCTCCATATGGGCTTTTCAAGTGGGTCCCATTCAACTTGTTCGCAGCTACTTGCTTCGCCCTGCAACACCAGACATCCCCTTTTATGCACTGCAGCTGTCTGGTGCCCTGAGTTGCCCTGGCACACAGTTGTTATTTGTCAGAGTGATTTCATATAAGCAAATAAAAATCACACTGTTTGAGCCGGTTTAGTCTGCTAGGGGTCTTCAGATGGAGAATTTGGTGGGAAATGTTTAGAAGCTGTAATACAGCTGACATATCCCCACTTTCAGTCTTTAAAAATAAAACCCAACAAAACACAAGAAGAATAACAGCGAGAGCAACAACATATAGAAACAGATGGGGAAAATGCTCCAGGTTTTATTTATTTGTTTGCAGCAAGCAGACATGCAGATTCATTTCCTCAGTTCTTGTGTCTCGAACAAGCAGGAGGAGGAGATGCTGGCACAGCCGAGCACCTCCCGTCGTTCCCCTTTCCCAGGTATTCATGGCAGCTTTACAGTGCCAGGAAAATGGGTGCAACCAGAGAAATAAAGGTCAGGAAATAAAAATCAGCCCAGGAACATGAACTGCCGCTGGACCGCTGTTTTTAATCTCTCCACGCCTGCTCCAGCAATTGCATGAGGGAAATGAGACTCCTATTAATCTTCCCACCCCTCCCTTTGCTGGCTGCTCTGGGATGGGAAGCCAGAGAAGCGTGACCAGGAACTCCCCACCCTGCTACAACTGATAAATGCTCTAACAAAATCCCTGCCGGAGCTGCTGGCCCAGCCTGGCTTCCAGAGGTAAGCATAGCCGTGGAGGGAGGGAGAGCAAGGCAACTGCCCCAAAGAGAGAAGGAAAGGGTGCTCGGGAGCATGCAAGGCTTCTGCGCCCCTAACCAATCCCAGGATGCTTCTGTGGCACTGCCAGGGAGCCTTCAAAGCCCACAGCACCCACTCATTCACCCCTACAGGGTACACAAAAGCATGGTGGCCTTCATGCTATCACAGCATGTTACTCCATACAGTTTCAGCCCTTTTCTGTTTGGCAGAAGCCAGATAATACAATCCCAGTTCCAACTCCTCAGGACCAGGGGCTCCAGACCTCCAGGAAGTTTCTGCTCACCACCAAGCCTTCCATCCCTTGCAAACAGCCCCACACCTCATTAAGTTGTCATTTAATGCTCACTATGGCCCTTCAAATAGCAGGCAGACGTGCCCATGCATAAATGGAAGCAAAGGCGGAAGCAAAAGGCCGTGCAAGCACCTCCCAGTCCCCCCTCCCAGCAGGGCTGTGCAGGGAAGAATGCTCTGAGAGCCCCTAAAATGATCTCTGCTTTTCCCCACAGCAAATGCAGTATCCTCGTGCCATGCACAGGAAACTGAGGCAGCAGAGTCCAGGGTGACGCAGGGAGCGTTGGCCAGCCTGGGACCCAGCTCACCCACCCCATGGTAAGTAAGGACACACTCAGTTACAGGAAAGGCACTTCTTGCAAGGGTTTGTTCAGGCAGCATTCTCACTCCATCATCTCCCTTCCTGTTCCACACACTTACAGCTTCCTTCTCCAAGCCATTGGGATGGGATTTGGGATTTTTTGGGGGGTGGGATGATGACAGAGGAATGTACTCCTGATAAAATACAGCTGCTGTGCAGGGCAGTAGCACACGAGGACCAGCGCTGCTCTGAGGCGACATCCACCAGGATCCCACCCAGGAGATCTCACCCCTTAGCTCCAGTTTCTCCCCAAAGGCTCTTTTGGAAAGAAAGCAGCAGCAGCAATGATCACTAAAGAGCAGACTTCAAAATAACTAATTAAATAAATAAATTAATTGAACACAGAGAAGCTTTCATTTGGAGGTTGTTGGAGCCCCAAGGGGACTGTGTGGCTGTGGCCAGGGAGGTTGCATTCACGAGGTTTCCACACTGATGCACATCTCACACTTCAACAGCTTTGTGTTTCTAAAGCAATTTGCACACCCAATGAAAAAGAGGGCTGAGAGCCACTGCTAAAAGTTTGACCCTCTACAGACCACCTCTTGCTCAGATTCTGCCCTGAAGCTGCCATATACAAGAAGATCCATAACCTGGTAAAGTGGTTTGGTTGGCTTGTTGTTTTTTTTTTACATAAACTGGCTAAATTTCAGCTCAAATTCCTGCTGAGCTCACCCTAACCCCGTGACTGCAGAGGCACTGGCACCAGAAAGACTCAGCTGAGCAATTTCCCATTGACCTCCGCTGCTTCCTCTTGGAGGAAATCTTGGCTTTTACTTCATTTTCTGGGAGGTTCAAGTAACCCCGTGACACCAGGGGAAATCCCACAGGGACGTTTACGGCCAGGCCACTTAGGGCTAAGGCTGCTGAGCACCCTCCTTCAGCACTGGGGGGGTTGCAGATGATGCTGCCTCTTGCCCTAGTTCCTTGCAAAGCAATGGGGGATGAGAGGAGGCTCTCAGTGCTCATGTCTCCATCTCTGGGCTGCAAAATATCACTACCAGTGTGCAGACACAGGGGTCGCTTCCCCCAGGCATCCAGCCCTTGGGAGCAGGCAAAGCAGGGGCAGGAAGTGAGATCCCTTTGCCTGCTAGCAAGGGGATTACTGCAGACCACTGCCTGAGTGGCATTAACCAGTGGAAAAGCCACACAGATACCTTGTACCTCTCCTCTTGCCTGCCTCATCCTGCTGTGAGGACCACTCCTTGTTATTTGGCACTGGGTATTAACGCTATCATCTCCCCATGCCTCCTACATCTAGCATGACACCATTAGCCACACCACATGAACCCCGTGCTGCCTGTTCACCTGCATCAGACAATCCCAGCACCTCCACTGTGCCAGCAGGCAGGCTCAGTGCCCACAGGGCAAATGCAGGTAAGGCGCTGCCCTTCCCTTGCCTGCTCAAGGTACAGCTACTCCAGCAACTCATTTCACACACGTGTGCAGAGCAGATGCCCAGGGGATGCTCTGCTCAGGAGGGAGCTCAATACAATTCACTCAGAGAAGTCTTCAGTACCTGAGCCTCCACTGAAGGCAGCTGACCAGGCTATAATGGCTGAAGTCCTCATTAGAGAGAAGACAAGCTCTGCTACCAAGAGCTTAGCTCTCAGAGTGAAGAATCTTCAGCTGTATACAGTAGATTTTCTTTAATGGACACATTACTTTAAACTAAGCCTTCACCATCTGTTCCAGTCCCTAATTATCAATACAAAAACAAACGTCTACTCACAATTACACTCATAACAAGTAAAGATGCCAGCAATTAGAATGCACCAGCATCCTCGCTGCTGAGCGGCACATCCATCTGTGACAGTGCTCATGCAATCCGGGCAGGGAGAACCGGCTGCCATCCCCGGCTCCCCTCACCCTCCTGTCCAAACCAGTGAGAGATGTGGCCAGAGCTGATGCCTGTGGTGGGATAAGCTGGATCTCAGAGAAGCAAAGGGAAGGGTGGCATCCTTCAAGTTACTCAGGCAAGAGTAGACAGGTGGGGAGCAGGGCAGCACAGGATCCACTGCAGGAGCTGATGCCACCTCACCAACCACCCTTCCCAACAGGATTTAAGCCTCTTCCAGAAAAACCTTTCTGAACTACCTAAACCAAAGTGAAACTTATTTCCTGAAACCCCCAGCTTGAAACCTGTATTTCAGATCTCTCCAGCAAAGAGGGCTCCTGCCAATCTCATCATAGAAGGTGGGACTTTTCCCTGGCAGGGTGCAAGGTCTGGCTACAGGCAGAGAGAGGCGGAAGAAAGGAGACCAACACAACTTGATCCTGTTTCAGCACTGTCATCTGGACAGAAAGAGGTGTGACAACAAATCTGTCCAGGGGGGCCATGAAGAAACTTCCAGGAGTACTGCACTCCTCAATAGATGCCTTGGGAACATGGTCCCTCTCCCAGAACAAGAAGCAACAGCTCTCGCTCCGACAACATAATGGCAGGAACCAGCCTAAGGCACTTAAAAGCAAATGCTTGGGCATATGCAAAGAGATGCAGGCATGTCTAAGATAACCAAGAGGAAAAAAGACAGAAATTAAGCAAAATAGGGAGAGAAGGCTTGGTAACAACAGATGGGTAGAAGGAGATTTGGAAAGGATGCCAGCTGCTGGGAATAAGCCCCCAAGATGCGTGGGGAGCAGAGGGGTGCATGTCAATAGCTGAACCTTCACAGGGAGACGGGAGGGCAGGCATTGAGCGAGAGGCAGCGCACATGTGGCCATGCAGGGCTCAAGTCTAGGGTCCAGGGTGACAGAGGATGCACTGTGGGTAAGATCTTCAGAAACTTGTCCTGATGTGCTACAGTACAAAGCTATCACTGGCGGGTTCACTGCATGGTCCAGCCCCAGGGCATGTCCTCTGGGCAGTCCCAGCCCCATAGCATGACTTCCTGAAGGGGAACAAAAGCAAAAGAGTTTTTTCCACAAGCAAAGCACCATATTTTCCCCTTTATTTCATGCTCATAAATGCCAAGCTTTCCTTCTACCTCCTCTTTCTCTCCCAGGAGCTTCAGCAAAATCAACCCAAGGCAAGCGCACAGCTTGGGAAGCTTCTGTCCAAGTTTGGTGACATTACCAGAAAAAGGGAACTAT